CCGCCGCGCCTCCCCGTGCTTCGGGAGGCCGAGGCAGGAGGATCGCTGAGGCCAGCCCGGGCCGCCCGGCGAGCCCGCCGTCGCTCCAGAGACCCCGCACCTCGAAGCTACAACAGAAGAAAGTGACTTGCTGGGAGGCGAGCGAGGCTCGCGCCGTCTCAGGAAGGCTCCGGGTTGGAGGCCGGCGGAGGTCCTCACGGCGGCAGCGGGACTGACTCCGCCACCCGCTCTGGCCACTGCGCCCTGGTGGAGATCCCTGGGCAGCTGGTGGGGGTTCCCGAGGCTGTTTCGGGCTGCTGCGCGGGGCCTGGGGGTGCGGGGGGCTGGGGCTCCTGCGCAAAGAGGGAGGGCGTAGCCGCGAGGGTGGGCGTCTCCTTGTTCTCAGGAACTCGCGCGGGTGGCTGGCCGGTTCCCCGGTCCCATCCTGGAGGGTTTGTGCCGCCGTCCTCCAGCACACCTGCCCCGTGGGGCCGCAGCCTGGGGCGTGCCTGTGCCCTCCCTCCTGCCTCTTGGCCCGTGGACAGCCTGCGTCCTCCCGCTGCCGCCCTCCCTCCCGACCTCTGGGGCACCTGTGTCCTCTGTCTTCCTTCCCCATTTGTGGAGCACCTGCCTCTTCCCGCTGCGTGCTCCCTCCCCCCGCCTCCGCCCTCCCGCCTAGCCTGCACCCGGGCCTTCATCCTCTCCTCTGCTCTGTGGAGCACCTGCCTCCTCCCTCCCGGCCCGCGGAGTGCCTCCGCTCCCCGTTCTCCTTCCCAGCCCGCGGAGTGCCTCTCCCGCCTCTGTCCTCCCTCCTGGCCCGCGGAGCGCCTGCCCTCCGCCGCCGTCCTCCCTCCTGGCCTTCGGGAGCACCTCGGTCCTCCCCCTTCCACCTCCTCCGGGGCTTGGGGCGCCCCACTCCCCTGCCTCCGTCCCCTGTCCTGGACTGGGGAGCACCTCTGCCCCCCTCACGGCCCCCTCTTCCTTTGTGGTGTGAACGAGAAGGGTGGAAGAATTGGCCTCCAGAATACGGGGCTCTGCTTGCACCATGCCAAGGTTCTTGTTTAACGGAAATTCAAAGGCAAACTAAGATTCTGCACCTTCTGTTTTGGGGGGAGGGAGATTGGTGAGAGCTGACTCTTCCTGCAGGGTGCAACTGTGCACCTGTGGGAGTTCACACCCCTGGCATGGTCCTCGCAGTTTGTCTGGGAGGCAGGCCTGGTGTGAGGCCGTAGACAAATTCAGATCCTAGGGGTCTGAAGTTCTTTGTTGCTGCTTGTCTTCAGCCTTTTATAGGTTGGCTTATGGCACACAAGCTACCTTATGGCTACACAGATCCAGGTTCTGAACTCAGTCCTGTAAGTTCTTAAGTTTTTTTTTTTCAGTTGGAGTCTCACCCCATCGCCCAGGCTGGAGTGCAGTGGCACGCTCACGGCCACCCCAGTATCACCCTGCTGGGCTCTGGGGATCCTTCTGCCTCAGCCATTCAGGTAGCCAGAACTACAGGCAAGTGCTACCACACCTGGCAAATTTTTTGTTATTTTTTGAGTTGGAGTCTCACTCTCTTGCTCAGGCTGGAGTTCAGTGGCATGCTCACGGCCACCCTAGCATCGACCTGCTGGGCTCCAGCGAAAACTTTTTGACTTATTCCTAGAGATGAGATCTTGCCAAGTTGCCTGGGCTGGACTCAAACCCTGGGCTCAGGCAGTCCTCTCACCTTGGCTTCCCAGAGTGCTGGGATTACAGGCTTGAGCCACCGCGTCCGGCCTAAATTTTTATTAAAAAATTTTTTTTGGCTGTATCTCACTGTATTGCCCAGGCTGGAGTGCAGTGGCATGATTACAACTTACCACAGCCTTGACTTCCTGGGCTCAGGCTGTCTGTCCTTCGGCTTTAGCCTCCTGGGTAGCTGGAACTACAGCTGTGTGCCACCATGCCTGGCTAATTTTTTTTTTTTTTTTGTAGAGATGAGGTCTTGCTGTCTTGCCTAGACTGGTCTTAAACTCCTGACCTCAAGTGATCCTCCTGCCTCGGCCTCCCAAAGTACTGAGATTACTGGTATGAGCCACCACACCTAACCTCAGTCCTGAGTTTTTGAAGCATCAGTTTCATTATCTCTAAAATCTGTGTAAAAAGGCCTAATTCACCATTCTGTCTTGAAGATCGAGCTGTTGTGTATAGACTTACAAGCTTGTTGCTGGTCAGACCAGCAAATCAGCACCATCTCTCACTTGAAGACTTCATGGACATTGACTGTGATCCTCACAATGACTTTGCAGAGTGGGTTTCACTGTGGTCAGTTTATAGATGAGGAAACTAAGACTCAAGAAGTCTAGGTGCTCAGCAAATGTCAGATGCCTTTCCTTCTGGTTTCTGTTGAAACTAGTAATCGCTGTTACTGGTATTGTTAACATGGTGACAGTTAGCATTGCTATGGTCGTCAGCATCTTTATTGCCACTGTTGCACACCTTGTTTCTGATTCTGAGGTCGTTTTTGTGGATGCTTGTGATGGTTAATTTTAGGTGTCAACATGACTGGATTAGGAAATACCTAGAAACCCTTAAAGCATTATTTTTGAGAGTTTCTGTCAGGATGTTTCCAGAGATTAGCGTTAGAGTCTTGAGTGGACGAGGTGGGGAATCCCTACCCTCAGTGTGAGTGGACCCCGTGCAGTCGGCTGGGGGCTAGAGAGAACAAATGCAGAGAAGAGGTGAGTGTGTCAGTCTGTCTGCTGGAGCTGGGAGACACTCCCTCTCCTGTCCTTGGACAGCAGAACACCAGGGCTGGCCTTTGGACTCCAGGACTTACGCCAGTGGCCCCTTCGGACTAAGAGTTACTTCATCAGCTTCCCTGGTTCTGAGGCCTTAGGGCTTGGACTGAGCCATGCTACCAGCATCCTGGGGGCTCCAGCTTGCTGGTGGTTTGTCATGGGACTCATCAGCCTCTATAATTGCATGAGTCAATTCCTCTAAAAAATTCCCTCTTACGTATCTGTATCTGTCTGTCTGGCCTGTGGAGCACCTGCATCCTCTGGCCGCCGTCCTGGAGAACCCTCTCTGGAGAACCCTGACTGATACAGTGCTTATGTGGGAGCTTTGCCACTTGTTTGCTGAGCACCTCCTTCTGGGCGCCATCTGTCCATCCTGTACACAGGTCAGACTCAGTCAGTGGCTCGGGGGCTGAGGTTTGGTGGCGTGCTTTTATGCCTCCATTTCTTCTCTGGTAAATTGGCAATGTGTGCTCCCACTTAGCTCTGAAAAATGTGGTTATGGACACTGGAGTATTTTACGGGCCCTGAGAGAGCATTGAGGCACCTTGACTGTGCAGCTGATAGAGCATAGAAACACTGCCTCTTACCCTTCCTTTGTCTTCTCCCAGAAAGAGAGTGGCCATGGAAGATCTGGGGGAAAACACCACTGTCTTATCCACCCTGAGGTCTTTGAACAATTTCATCTCTCAGCGAGCAGAGGGAGGATCTGGACTGGATGTTTCCACCTCTGCCTCAGATTCTTTGCAGATGCAGTATCAGCGGAGCATGCAGGTGAGTGTGCCAGAATGGGGGTCTCTGGATAGATACCTGGGCTTAGGTAGGGCCTGTTCAAGTCCCATGTGGTTGAGTGAGTGGCATGTGCCAGGATGGAGGTGTCTGGGCTCAGACAAGACCTGTTTAAGTCCCATATGGTTCAGGTGAGTGGCATGTGCCAGGATGGTGGTCTTTGGGTACAGACACCTGAACTCTGGTAGGGCCTGTTTGAGTCCTGTGTAGTTGAAATTTAGCTCAGCCTTGAGGCCAGCCACTTGTCTTCCAGATCTCATTGTGGGCATTTCTCATTTTGGGGCAGTTGCTGGAGCCCAGGGTCTGGCCCTGAATCATCTTGGCTTAAAGGCCTACTTTGTTAGCAACCCAAGAGTGAGTCTGGTGCTCAGCGTTGTGTTTGCACTAATGAACTCACAGACACTAATGACAGGATTGGAAAGCCAGTTCATTCATTTAATTGGGGACAGACCCTAAACTGCCTGAGAGCCTGAGCACTGGGCTTGTCTAGCCATCATGCTGTCTTCTTAAAGCTACAACATGGGAAAGCTGTGTTGTAAACACAGGGCTTGGTCAGCCTAGAGAGACAGGGCAGTGGGCACAGGGACTAGGTGTTTCTTATTCTCAGACTGTGGAGGGCCATTTGCAGATCCTGTGGTGATTTTTTGCAGTTCTACTCTGATTGTAGTCATATTTCACTTCATTCCAAGTTCTTGGGTATGTTCACGGTAGACAAGGGGTCCCTGTTCCATGGACTGACACCAGTCTGTGACCTGTTAGGAACCAGGCCAAGGGAACTAGGTTGCCTCTCCTTATGAGAATGTAGTGCCTGATCTGAGGTGCACCTGAGGCGATGATGCTAGCACTGTCTCCCATCACCCCCAGATAGGACCTTCTAGTTGCAGGAAAAGAAGCTCAGGGTTCCCACTGATTCTGCATTATGCTGAGTTGTGTAATTATTATATATTACAATGTAATAATAATAGAAATAAAGTGCACAATAAATGTACTGTGCTTGAATCATCCCAAAACCCCCAACCGCCAGTCTGTGGAAAAATTGTCTTCCATAAGATTGGTCCCTGGTGCCAAAAAAGTTGGGGACTGCTGCTGTAGATACAACAGCAAAAGGTTTCCTAAAGGATGTCAGACTCCAAAGAGTTGACTCAGTCTCAGTTGGGGCTGGCATAACTGGGCCCTCGATGAGGGGAGTGGTATCTCCAGCCTTGCCTAGGCCCTGCTGGCTACACCAGGTTCCTCCAGGCGATTGCTTGTGCCTTCCATGCCCTTCCCTGCTGCGTGCCCTGGAGTCATGATCATGTCTGCATTAGATGAGCCAGTCGCTTCCTGCAGCTTTCAGAGCCCTGTGAGGCCCTGGTCCATTTGGTAAAATAAACAGTGTGTTTGTGTGCATTAATTTGTTGAATAATTGAATTACTCTGTGTTTGTTAGCGTGCCAGATTGCTCACTGCCCTTTCCTGGTGAGGACTGTTTTCCACTCTGAGGTTAGAGCTTTTATGATTTTTTTTTTTTTTTGGTATTAAAGCACTCTTCTGTGAGGTGATAGTGGTAATAGATGGTAGTTATTTGTATATGGCAAGATAAGAAATTGGCAACTCTTAAATATTATAATTTCATTGATGTAAATGTCTGGAACCTCTTGGTCTAGCTGTCAAAACTATAGAGTTCCAGAACCTGAATTGGACCTCAGAAGATCCCAGTGCTCACTCATTTTAAAAAACTTTTTTGGGTTGGAGTCTCACTCTGTCACCCAGACTCGAGTGCAGTGGCATGCTCATGGCTACCGCAGCCTTGACCTGCTGGGCTCAGGTGATCCTTCCACCTCAGCCTTTCAAGTAGCTGGAACCACAGGTGCATGCCATCATGCCCAGCTAATGTTTTGTGTATTGTAGAGATGAGATCTCACCAAGTTGCCCAGTCTGGTCTTGAACCCCTGGATTGAAGCAATTCTCTCACCTCTGCCTCCCAAAGTGCTGGAATTACAGGTGTGAGCCACCGTGCCCGGCTTACCAGTGCTCACTCTTAATGGCTTCCTCATTTAAGGGATCATAATGCAGCGCCATAGCCAGAGGGAGATGGTTAGTAAAGTCATGACCATGAGACCTGCTTCAGTTCCTGGATTTGATTATGTCCTGTTCAGTTGTGTTTCTTTGTCTTCCTGCTGAACCCTCTGGAATGGTGGGTGAGGACCTTGAGAACATGGCAGATCTGGAGAATCTGGAGGCAGAGATTAGGACATCTTGCCAGTCTGTCCTTCCCCTCTTCTTTCCAAGGCTCCTGTTTTAGTTAGAAGTGTGTACTGTCCGCTCTGTCACCCACTAGTGTTTATTTAGACATAAGGGTAAGTTTAAATTATTCTCTTTCAGATACAATCAGTGCTCCGGGCAGATGAGGTACACAGACCAGGTGTGTCTGGGACTCTTGGTCCTGCAGGTGGCCTCCCTTGCAGGTCGGGTGCCTACCCTTCTCTGGAGAAGCTCAGACTTGACTGTGAACATAGAACTGAGACCAGGAAGCCTAGTGAGTTTGAAGGGCACACGTAGGTCCTCCCAAATAGCAATAGTTGGGAATTGAAATGAGATCAAATAGAAATAAAGTACAGGCTGGACTTGGTGGCACAACCTGTAACCCAGCACTTTGGGAGCCCGAAGAGAGTGAATTGCCTGAGCCCGTGGGTTCGAGACCAGCCTGGGTAACTTGGTGAGATCTTGTCTCACCTCTACGATAAATGAAAAAAAAATTAGCCAGGCGTGGTAGTGCGCGCCTATAGTTCTGCCTTGGTAGGCTGAGGTGGAAGGATTGCCGGAGTTCAGCAGGTTGAAGCTGGGGTGGCTGTGAGTGTGCCACTGCACTCCAGCCTGGACGACAGAATGAGACTCCAACTTTAAAAAAAAAAAAAAAAAAAAAAGAAATTAAGTATGAACTTGGGCCACTGAAGAATGTAGATGGAAGGATAGAGAAGCTGCCCTTACTCTAGCCTGAACTTTCTCAACTGGGCAATATTGACATCTGGATACTTATTATTATTATTATTACTTGCATGATTTTTCTGTGCATTGTAGGATGTTGAACAGCATCTGGCCTTTATCCACTATACCAGTGGCAAACACATGCAACCATCCTGCTGGACTTTTAGAAGTGTCTCTAGACAGTGCCAAATTGTTCCTGGGACAAAATTGACCCCCTGTTGGGAACCACCACTTTAGCCTAGTGGTTCTCAAATTTTGATGTGCATGTGAATCCCTGAGAATATGTTTAAAAAGAAGATTAGGATTTACTAAGTCTAGGATGCAGCCTGAGATTCTGCATGTAAGTACCCAGGAGATGCTGTGCTGCTGAACCACAAGGCTCTAGACCATGTGAAGAGTCAGTGATGCTATTCTTTCCTCCAGTTTAGCAGGTCGTACCCAAAGACCTGCTCTGAAACTGGTATGTCTTGTGGGGCCCTTTGAGGCTTGAATCACCTGTATTTACCTGCCCCTCTGTGATAGGCAGACTTCTAAGATGGCCCCAAATTCTGGGTCTCTGATACACACTCACCTGTCTGCATTCTTCCAGTTATTCAATCAAACACTGACTAGGTATTGTTGCAGGGGGAGTGTGCAGATATAATTAAGGTCCCAAATCAGTTGACCTTAACATAGGGAGACTGCCTGGGTGGGCCTGACCTCATCTCATGAGGTCTAGGTGTCAGAGGCAGGGAAGTCAGACTCAGAGCAGGAGAAGGGTTTAAAAGAGGGAGATTGGGCATGTTTGTTTGGCTTTGGAGATGGAGAGGACCACATGGCAAGGGATGTGGGCTGCTTCTAGGAACTGATAGCAGCCCTGGGCTTATAGCCAGCAAGGAAATGGGACCTCAATTCTCCAACCCCATGAGCTTGCAAGAAGATCCGAACTGCAGATGAGAACGTTTCCTGGCTGGCTGCATTGATTTTAACCTTGGAAGACCCTGAGCAGAGAACCCAGTCATTTGTGCCAGGACCTCTGACCTGCGGATATGTGGGCGCTGTTTTAAGCCACTGAGTGAGCGAATACTTTCGTTTCTACAACAAGCTTACAGGCTGTCTGTTTAAAATACAGCTTCTCTTCTCATGCTGGTTTTATTTTCCCTTTGCTAGCTATCTCAACTAGGAACCCAGTGACGCGATTCCTTCTGCCCCTGATACTTAGCATGGGGTCTTGCTGGGTATGCGTGTTCAGTGAAAGTGTCTGTTGAATCGAGCTGCTTGCCTCTTTTGATGTTGTGACTGAGGATTCTGTGTTTCTTTGGGTATGACCTGCTCAGTTGGAGGAAAGAGCAGAGCAGATCCGTTCGAAGTCCCACCTCATCCAGGTAGAACGAGAGAAGATGCAGATGGAGCTGAGTCACAAGAGGGCTCGAGTGGAGCTGGAGAGGGCAGCCAGCACCAACGCCAGGAACTATGAGGTGCGTTCATGCGGTGCGAGTGTCTGGCCAGCCAGTCCTGGGAGAGGCAAGGGGACTGTGCACAGTATTTGCCAGGTTGGAAGAAATCAGAACTCAGCCCTGGGAGGGAAGAGGGCTGTGCGCGGCACCTGCCAGGTAGGGAGAAGTCAGAACTCAGTCTCTGGAATCCTGAGATGCTCTGTGTCAGGGTTACCAGGACGTTCCTTCTGAGGCCACAGGGACATGGGGCAGATGCCAGTTGTGCTTGATGTTCTAGAGGAGGGTGGCGTGAAATGAGGACAGTTGCAAAGGATGGCCCCTCACTGTGTCTGCTGCTCAGTGAGGCTGTGATGTTGACAGACATTCCTCTGCTGTGTCTCTTGGTTTCCTGTTTCCTCTGGAAGAATATAATATAGATCTGGCAGAAATGTTGGGAAGCATGGAGGTGACCGTCTTAGAAGGTCACTGGGTGGCATGACAGTCTTGGAGTCCATGCTGGGTCTTGCTAGGATGGCTGAAGTACCTCATAGCAGAGTTCCAACCTCACTGGCTACATCATTTTGCTCCTGGCTTACCCAGGCAGCTGGGAAATCACACCCCTGCCACTTAGGGAAGGTGTTAGGTTTTCACTTAGTGTGTGAATCCTCTTTCCTTTGCTTTGATAAACAGCATTTCTTTTCTTTCTTTTTTTTGAGTTGGAGTCTCACTCTTTCGCCCAGGCTGGAGTGCAGTGGCTTGCTCATGGCCATCGCAGCCTTATCCTGCTTGGCTCAGGCAATCCTTCAGCCTTAGCCTTCCAAGTAGCTAGAACTACAGGCACACACCACCATGCCCGGCTAATTTTTCTTGATTTATTGTAGAGATGAGGTCTTACCAAGTTGCCTAGGCTGGTCTCAAATCCCTGGGCTCAGGCAGTCTTCTCACCTCTGCCTCCCAAAGTGCTGGGATTACAGGTTTGAGCCACTGCGCCTGGCTAGGTTTTCTTTCTTTCTTTTTTTTTTTTTTTTTGAGTTGGAGTCTTACTCTCTTGCTCAGGCTGGTGTGCAGTGGCACACTCACGGCCACTCCAGCGCTGACCTGCTAGACTCTGGCAATCCTTTCGCCTCAAGTAGCCAGAACTACAGGTGCACACTACCATGCCCTGCTGATTTTTTTGATTTATTGTAGAGACGAGGTCTTGCCAAGTTGCCCAGGCTAGTCTCCAACCTGCGGACTCAAGCAATCTACTCGCCTTGGCCTCCCAAAGTGCTAGGATTACAGGCTGAGCCACTGAGCCTGGCCTTTTAAAAAAAAATTTTTTTTTTTGAGTTGAAGTATCACTCTGTCACCCAGACTGGAGGACAGTGGCATGCTCCCGGCCACCGCAGCCTCAACTTTCTGGGCTCAGGCAATCCTTCTGCCTCAGCCTTCCAAGCAGCTGGAACTATAGGTAAGTGCCACTGCACCCGACTAATTTTTTATTTTTTTATTGTAGAGATGAGGTCTCACCAAGTTGCCCAGGCTGATCTTGAACCCGTGGGCTCAAGCAGTTCACTCACCTTGGCCTCCCAAAGTGCTGGGATTACAGACTGAGCCATTGAGCCTAGCCTTTTTTTTAAAAAATTTTTTTGAGTTGGAGTATCACTCTGTCATCCACACTGGAGGGCAGTGGCATGCTCCCGGCCACCACAGTCTCAACCTGTTGGGCTCAGGCAATCCTGCCTCAGCCTTCTAATCAGCTGGAACTATAGGTAAACACCACTGCACCCGACTAATATCTTTTTTTTTAAATTTTTTTTTAATTTACTGTAGTGTTGAGGTCTCGCCAGGTTGCCCAGGCTGGTCTGGAACCTGTGAGCTCAGGCAGTCCTCTCACACTGGCCTCCCAAAGTGCTGAGATTATAGGCATGAACCACTGTGCCCGCAGAGAGAGATTTTTTTTTTGAGTTGGAGTATCACTCTGTTGTTCAGGCTGGAGTGCAGTGGCACGCTCTCAGCTACCGCAGCCTTGACCTGCTGGGCTCAGGTGATCCAGGTTTTTAATAAGTGCTGATCAGTTGTGGAAATGCAGCCAAGATTCAAGCAGAGCATTGAAGGAAGGTATCTCTGGCCTCCCTACCCTCTCTTGGAGGATGGATTTCTGGCCCCCTTCTTGCCTTATGTGGTATATTCACACGCTTTTTTTGTCCCTAAAAATTAGCTGATGTCTCCCAGAATGTGATGCTCGTTGGAGTTCCTCAAACTGGTGTGTAGCTTCCTGGCTGTGGTGTGTTGTGTTTGCTCAGTCAGCCTAGAGGTATAGCCTCAGGGTGAGATGCTGCTACCTTGCTGTTCAGAGCAGGACTTTTTCTTTGTGATGGGCTTTTGTTCACGACCTTTTGGTCCTAGGAGGGGCAGGCCTGGGGGAAATGGTGAGAAGGGAAGGGAGAGGCCACAGGAATCTCCCCAACTATAGAAGTGCCCCTTATTGGGAAGGGATGGTAGCATCAGGCCATTGGTCTATAGGAAGTGTGGTGCTCATGGCAAGGCTCTGTCTTTTGGGGACTGGGTTGTGGACCTACAGGAGTTTCTCTTGGCTTTGAGTCCCTCAAGGGCACGGCCTACCTGCCTCTGCCCTGGATCTCCAGTGTGCCGCACAGCTTGTGGCTCCTGTGGGTGCTCAGAAAACATTTGATTGAGAGAGGGATCACTGCAGGGTCTCTGAAATTCCCTTTTTTGGGAAATCCAAAGATGTAGAGGTGACTAGCTTAGACCTGGGGCCTCCTATTGTGCTTGAACCCTCTTCCAGGAAGTCTTCCCTTCCTTGCCCACAGACGCAGCTGAGTGGGACCCAAGGAACCATCAGAGCTGGTAGTTTCCCAGTTCTTTCTTATAGTCCCACCGTCAAGTACCTGTTAGGTGGCAAGACCCAAGTGTCTGAGGTCCAAGGACCTGTGGACTGCCCTGTCTGCACTTGGGGCTGTCACTACCAGTAGTGATGCCATATCTGGCTGACAGTGTTGGCCAGGGCCCTGCACTAACTGCAGAACTCTTGTTCTGTGTCACAGAAGGGTCCCAGGCTATTCCACGGGTGTCCTTGTAGCTCACTGTCCCTGGTGTCCCTTTGAGGTATGGGCCAGCCTTCCCTTGAGGAGGCAGCAATCCTTTCTGCACTTTTATCAAGCCCTTCCCTGATTTTGGGCTGGAGCATCCTGGTCAAGGGTAGTATAAGTGCTTTCTTTCAGTAAGATGGGCTCTGGAAGTGCCTGCTGGTTCTTGTAGGGAGCGTGGAGGAAGTACGAGCTTCCTGAGGAAGGCAGGGCAAAAGGTCACCGGTGTGCCAGGCTACACAGAACCAGGACTCATTGCCTTTGCCTCTTGGGCCTCCGGCTTCTACTGTGAAGTCTCTTGTCAGTGCCTAACAGTGAGCTCTTAAGGTCCCTGTGGAGGCAGGAGGTCTGAGTGTGGTTCTTAGTTCTGCCCTTTCCTTACCAGCGCAAGCCACACAGCCTTCCTGAGGTCAGTAATAAAGGTTTGCGTGAGACAGTGTGCTTATGGCAGATTTGGGCCCAGTGTAAACTGTTTCTGTCTAACAGCCTCCTGTCAACACCACCTGTTTCTGCTCTCTAGTCATCTGCTCATTGGGGGAACACTGACTCATTTTAATGATGACCAGAGTGCAGTTAGACAAAATCTGCTGGTGCTGCAAAAGCTCAGCTTCTTTCCAAGGTCGATTCTGAATTTAAGATTTTCCATGCTTCATCTTCTCCCTGTAGAGGTGATCACTGAGCAGACAGTGTGAAGAGTGTGTGGTGTGATCCATGCCAAGTGCCATCCCCCGGGTCCCTGGCTTCAGACAGTGAGCGCTGTTGTTAGCTGTGGCAGGAACGCTGACATTGGAACTAGATCCCAGGACCTGTTACGTTTCTTTCTTTCTTTTTTTTTTTGAGTTGGAGTCTCACTCTGTCACCCAGACTGGAGTGCAGTGGCCGCTCCCGGCCACCGCAGCCTCGACTTGCTGGGCTCCGGCGATCCTTCCGCCTCAGCCTTCCAAGTAGCTGGAACTACAGGTGTGCGCTACCATGCCCAGCTAATTTTTGATTTATTGTAGAGATGAGGTCTTGCCAAGTTGCCTGGACGGGTCTCGAACCTGTGGGCTCGGGCAATCCACTCACCTCAGCCTCCCAAAGCGCGGGATTACAGGCTGAGCCACCGAGCCTGGCTGACCTGTTACATTTCTGCCGCTGCGTTGGCTGTTGGGGCCTCCCCAGCTCTTCTTTGGGCCTCAGTGGCCTTTTCGGAGAGAGGAGTGGAGATTGAGATCTCCCTGCTCTGACTTTCTCTTGGGTGGCATCTGGGCGTCTCACTCTTGCCCTCTTGACAGCGCGAGGTTGACCGTAACCAAGAGCTCCTGACGCGCATCCGGCAACTTCAGGAGCGGGAGGCCGGGGCCGAAGAGAAGATGAAGGAGCAGCTGGAACGTAACAGATTGTGTCAACAGAGCCTGGACACCACCAGCAAGAGACTGCGGGAGAAGGAGGACAGCCTGGCTGAGGCCAGTGAGGTGAGCCAGGGCCTCTGCTGGGGTGGGGACTGCCTGGCCTCTGGGGGGTCCCCCTCTCTCCTGGAGCCATTGTTCCAAGACAAAGACTGAATGCGCTCCAGAGTCCACCATTAGAGCACCGTGATGGTTTTACTTTTTATCATACTGTGTGGGCACCTGCATTTTTTGCATAGCTGTGATCATAGTAAAAATATTGACTTTACGTTCTGTGGTTTTCAGTTAATAAGTTGAGCGCTTTTTTGGCTATTGTAATTGCAAACTTTACTGGTTTACGAATCCTTTTTTTTTTTTGTCATTTTCAAGTGTTTTGTTGTTTGTATACACCTCCCACCACTTTATGTGGCAGATAGCTTTGTACGTACAACTTTTTGCTTCTATTGACTTATTTCGTTGGGACAGACCCCTAGAAGTGAGATATAAGGTCCCCAGTGACAGCTGTCTCTGGCTGTTACTACCAGTTGCTATGTTGTCATCATAGCCACTGTTGAATATTCTATTTACTCTGTTCTAATTTCTAGTTTCCTTGTCATGGATAGTGGTATTTTCTGGAGGTACTTTCTTTTTTGTCAGAAGATTTAAGTAGGTGCCTCTGGATTTGCATTTCTTTCATTATCAGCAAGGTCTGTTAGCGTCTGATGGTATCTGAGACTATCCTGGAACCAGAACCTTTATGAACTGTAGTCCAAGTGAAGGTTGCATACATTTTAGAAACAGCCTAGATGTTGGTGCTGGTGGAAACTGGACTCTTCTGACCTTTCCTGTCCCGTTTCTGTGGCATTCAAGATCACAGATGCTGGAGGAAACAGATGAAAAACTGCTAGAGGAGGGAGGGAGGCAGTACCTCATTGGCATTCCCCCTCTGCATGGTGTTCTCTCCTTGATAGATCCCCGGAAGCAGGCTGCGGGTTATTTCTGCCTTGGCAGCGCTGGGGAGCATGTTAAGGTTGTTCCCACATCTGTCTTCTGAAGTGAAGGTTGGCAGGAGAGGAGGCGTGACTGGCTTCCTAAGAAGCTGCTCCTGCCTTTCCTGTGCTCTGGGTCCCAGGCCCTGCATTCTGGGCTGTGCTGGAGGCAGGTGGGGTGGGGGCGTCCCCACTGCCTATAGGGTCCTGAGGTTCCATGGGGGAAGGTGAGTCACGAATAACACTCCGTGAAGAGCAAAAGAGGGTGAGAGGCTCACTGCAGATGCCAAATGGGACCTCGCGAGGAGAAGATTGTGGCATCGCAAGTGTTGCTGCTTTTATCTTTCACGTCTAAGCTTAAATGGTGCCTCTCAGAGAAGCTGTCCTGGTTACTCAATTTAAGGTCATAAGCCCTTCTTCTCAACTGCATTCTCATCATGGGTGTCTCGATTTGTAACATTCCTTACTCTCTGGAGTTATTTATCTCTTTACTTGTTAATTGTCCGGCTTCCCCCACAGTGTTTCTCCTCCCTAAGGGTAGGCTGTACCCTGTATCCAGCATAGCACCTGGTGCATAGTGTCTGTTGAATTCAGTAAGACTTCTTGAAGGACATGTTTATTGTTAGATAGATTCTTAATACCTTTTTTCTTTGATTCGCAGGTAAGACCCCTCACTGTTGTGATAAAGTAAACCATACAGATGGAGACATTATGGGGAACACATACCCCATGTTGGCCCAGGAGCTGTAGGAGTAAATAGTGGTGATGCCTGGGTTCTCAGGGCCAAGGAGATGAGTGCCGTGGCTTTTGTGTTTGCAGAGGGAGCTGCCTGGGGAGGGCCAACTGGTCCTCAGACAGAGGCTGCCCAGTAACATTTGCTGTGTGTTTCTATTGCCCTGCCCTTGGTGTGTGGTCTCCTGGGGATGTCAGTTTTTTGCCTTTTTGTGTTAATTTACAGGGACAGTTTTAAATGGGCTGGCATTTTTGTGTTGGCTTAACCAGTGAGCTCTTTCCTCTAGGAAAGCTGGGACTTTCTGATTTTTCCCAGAGGGATTGGACCAGTGTAAGTTGCCTCATGAGGTGCAGTTAGAGCAAAGGGTAGCAGCTTTGACATCAGGTGGATCTGTTTCTTGGGGATTGCTAGATAGGCCCTGCTGGCTTTGCTTGGGACGGCCTCCCCAGGCACTCTCCTCTCCTTCTGAGCACTCTTCTCTTGAGGATGTGGCCTCCCCAGCAGGTTATGGCTCAGCCTGCTGGCCAGGAGTTCCCCTCCAGGGCCTTCTTTCAGCGTCTTCACTCTTTGTGGTTTTCAGAGCTTAGTTCTGAGGACGGCCTCAGTCTTCTATATCCTACTTCTCGGTGAGTATCTTGCTGTCATCTCTAGGTAACATTATTAGCAAATAGCTGGAATGGTGGCATGGGGGGAATTGGGGAGGGACTTCAGGCTGAGAGAGTGACATGAGAACCATGGTTTGAAGTGAAGACTGTGGTGATGGTGTGGGAGATACATGGATGCCTGGTAGGGGGAGCTTTGTGAGCCCAGGGGCATCCATGTGGAGGCTGCCAGGCTCTATGCCTGAGAGTCCAGGCCCATCTTGGCTGGTGGCAGCTTTTGTTCCTAAAGCCCCTTCACTGGGACCAGCCTATCCAGGGTCCCCAGCTGTGACATGGATCTCCTCCATCAGCTTCCAGGCAGCCTGAGGCGTGCTTTGGACTGGGGTCCTCTGCATTGTTGAGTTGGGTGGGACCCATGGAGAAGGTGGTGCTGTCCACTGCCCTGGTCCTAGTGCATAGGAGATGATGGACTCTTTCTCTTGTCTCTGTTTCCTTGTGAAGGCTCACTTCCATATGTGCGTGGGCTGGGCCTCAGTGGGCTGCTCTTCTGTCCCTTTCTGCTTTCAGACCATCAATGTGTTAAAGGGGAGGATCTCGGAATTGCAGTGGAGTGTGATGGACCAGGAGATGCAGGTAAAGCGTCTGGAGTCCGAGAAGCAGGAGCTGAAGGAGCAGCTTGACTTACAGCACAAGTGAGTGGGGGCTTATAGGGAGGTAGGAGGGGAAGTGGGTTGAACGGCAAGGGGTGGGAGTCGGGTCTGGTGTGGGGAGCACGAGCCCTGCCTCTTGGCCAAGCAAGCCTGTGGCTGGGTGGGATCTAGATGATGTCCTCGTCTACAGACTGTCAGGCGCAGACGTTGAGGCCTGTGGAGCCAGGGCTGTGAGCACCATCATAGAGGGGTGTCTTAATGCTCCTGGGTCTCCCTAGGGGAGGGCAGGCCTTCTTGGGGAGAGCTCCTGGAGAGCTAGGTTTTGTAGGATAGCAGCATGTGCCATGCAGGTTGAGGGGACATGGCTGGGAAGGGGTGTTCGGGCTCAGGAACGTGTTCAGTAAAGGTGTGGGGAGGTGAACCTTGACAGGAGGTTTGGTCAGGAGACTGGGTGCTCTTTTGAAGAGGTTGACCCTTCGCTTAGCAAATATTGTCTGAGAAGAGTTCTAGCTCATTAGCAGAGTGGTGAGGTCAGTCCTGCATGGGACCATCTGGTGACTGGGGTTGCTGTGGGTGTGAGTGGCTGTAGACAGGGGAGACCTGTGGGCACCACAGCAGGGCTGCAGTTCCAGACCTTGGAGCACCTGGGTGGGAGTATGTGGAGGTCATGCTGGGGGATCAGGCTAAGGAGCATTGTTGGCCTCCCCATCTGCCTAATCTTGCAGATGATGTTTTCTTCTTTTAATAGGAAATGGCAGGAAGCCAATCAGAAAATTCAGGAGCTCCAGGCCAGCCAAGAAATGAGAGCAGACCATGAACAGCAGATTAAGGTGAGTTACAGCCCCTGGGCATGTGTCCTACAGATACTGCAGCAGTGGTCTTGGCCTTCCTGACACCTGCAGTCCTTTCTGAGCTGGGACTGTGCCTAGTGGTGTATGTAGACAGTGAGCCTCCTGTGAGGTTAGCCTCCGGTGTGCACCAGGCACTGCTGGGGGCCAGGGACGCCACAGTGGATAAGGCAGAGGCTTCTGCCCCCAGGGAACATGTAGTCCAGTGGAAGGAGATCGACTGCAAACACAGATGTGTGATAGCTTCAAGTGCTGACGAGTGTGTGAAGTTGGTATAAAATAGGCATAGAGGTTGAAAAATCTGCCCAAAGTTGCACAGCCAGAACGGGGTCTCAGAGTTGGGAGGTGCCATGGAGGTGGAGCTCCAGATCCTTTGATGGCTCCCCATTGCTTGTAGAACAATAGTCCCGCCCCATGCTGAGGCCGTGTGGTCTGGCTCCTCACCACCCAGCTGTGCTTCCCTGATCAGGCCCTTGGATCCCCATGTGCCCTCACATCGGGGCTTGGCACCAGCTCTTCTCCTTGGCAACAGAGCCTACCTGGGACCCCCAGCTCATTCCCCCCACCTCACCTCCTTGTGACGTTCTCCCTGGCCCCTCTTCCTTCCCTCTGCCACCCTTGGTCCACCTCTCAGGATTTGCTTGCCTTTGCAGCCTGATGTCTTTCTTCTGTATCACTGTGTCCTCACTGCTTGGCCTGGTACGTGACAGAGATGAGATCCATTAATGTTTGTTGAATGACTGGCTGATTTGGTCTTGTGTCATATTCTTGGCTTGCTCAGTGACTTGTCACCAATGGATGCCAGCTGTCTGTGTCCCAAGGGGACTAGATACTGTAAGGAAAAGTCTGTCCTCACTGTTGGAAAGACTCAGTCATTAGATATGTGCTACTAGAATGACAAACAAGTTTTACGCAGGACAGGTGGGATGTTTAACTACTGAGTGTCTTTGGGCTAGACTTGAGATAGGTTTCTGCCTTTGGAAACCTCCCTGAGGCAGGGTAGTGGTGTGGGCTGCCTTGCAGTGTGGTGCCGTAGGGAGGATGGCGCTGGGAAGAGCTGCCCTTCAAGTGGATGCTGCAGATGTGGCATTGGACACAGCGTGAAGGCACACCTTCATGGAGGAACTTTGTTGCTTCTGTGACTGTATGTTTTTAATAGACTGTTTTTGAGAGCAGTTTATAGTTTCACAGCAAAGCGGAATGGCAGGTACGGTCCCCATATACCCCTTGTCATCTTCACTCAGAGTCCTCAGTTTGGATTAGGGTCACTCCAGGTGTGACCCATTCTGGGGTTTGGACAGGTGTCTTGCATCCACTAGAGTCTCACCCAGAAGAGTTTCACTGCCTTAAGAGTCCTTTGTGCTCCACGTACTCAACCCTGCCTCCTCCCCCTGAGCCCCTGACAACTACTGATCTCTTACTGCCTCCATGAGTCTGTCTTTCCTAGAATGGAGTCCCCCAGTATGTGCAGCCTTTTCATCTTGACTCCTTTTTTCCCTTCCTTGTCCCTGACCCCCATCAGGATTTGGAGCAGAGGCTGTCCCTGCAAGAGCAGGATGCTGCGATTGTGAAGAGCATGAAGTCGGAACTAGTGCGGCTTCCCAAGATGGAGCGGGAGCTGAAGCAGCTGCGGGAAGAGAACGCTCACCTGCGGTGAGGCGTTTCGGGAGGGATAGGGCAGTGGCCTTGCATTGGTTTGGGTTGGAGGGCATGGGGCCCCTGTGGGGGCAGGGCTCCTGTACTTCTGGGTTCCTGGCTTCATCCCCGGAGTGTGTAGCTGTTTAGGTAACTATTTTGGCCTTGCCAGGGAGATGAGAGAGACCAATGGGCTGCTCCAGGAGGAACTGGAAGGGCTGCAGAGGAGGCTGGGGCGCCAGGAGAAGATGCAGGAGACGCTGGTTGGCTTGGAGCTGGAGAAGGAGGTGAGGGCTCAAGATGAAGCACTGTTCCTCATGGAGCTGTCCTCTGTCCTGGCGGGAGGATCCTGGATTTCAGTCATATGCGACAGCTGGCTACCTGAAAGATCGAAGCTGGTGTGATGGGATGGGAGACAGAACAGTGGACCCCCAAAGAGGTCCACATCCTAATTTCCAGAACCTCTTAGTATGGTGCCTTACATGGCAGGGGGCATCTGTGATTGCTAATTTGCTGACCAACGATTGGGAGGGGCGCCTGGGCCATCCAGGCAGGCCATGCTGTGGCAGGGGTGGGAGGTAGAGGAGGCCAGTGATGTGTGAGGGGCCACTTGCTGCAGGGTTTGGAGAGGTTTGGAAGGACCATGAGCCAAGGAATGCAGGCACCTCTGGAAGCTGGAAAGTACAAGGGAATGGGTTCTCTCCTGGAGCCTCCAGAAGGAACACAGCCCTGTTGACCCTATACTTTCAGCTCAAGGAGACACTATTTGAATTTCTGAATCAAAGTACTGTAAGATATTAAGTTTGTGTTGTTTTGAGCCACTGAGTTTGTGGTAATTTGTTTCAGTAGCAATAGGGAAAATCTGGTATCGGTGGGGAGTCAGAGAGGAAACGGCATGCAATGCTTGTAAGAACCAGAAGTGGATGGAGACCTGTGCCAGATTTCTTCTCCTTGTGTCTGCTGTTGGGACTCAGAAGTGGCACTTTATAGGAATGTCAGTGCTAGAAAGCATCCTAAAGTCATCTTGTGGCAGGGGAAGAAACTGAGGTTCAGAGAAGCTCCCTCTCTTGCCCAGTGCACAGCTAGTTTTAGGCCAGAATTTAGCCTCCTGGCTTCTGCCCCAGTCCTCTGTTCTTGACACCTCTTCCCCACGGCCACTGTCACTGTCTTCCTGGTGTGGCTAACAAACCCTGTGTTCCTGTTCCCCAGTCGTTTTGCAGTCTGGTAGCAGTGTAAACGTTAATCCCATCTTTAGGGCTCAGTGGCTGCCCAGACATCAGGGTTAGCCACATTTTGAGTTTCTGCCTTTGGATAGCCAATGGAACAATGAACAACCACTTTGTGGTTCCATTGTTCCATTGGCTATCAAAGGCAGAATCTCAAAATGTGGCTAGCCCTGATGTCAGAGCTGCAGTACAGCCAGGGTCCTGTTGGGGCCTCTTAACCTTCACCTGCATGTGAGGCGGCTCCCTGCCAGCTGGGGTATCTGGCCAGAGCTCCTCTCTCAGACGCTGGCTTCTGTAGGAATTTAGCCTGAAAAGACAGTTCCCAAGCTAAATACTTTTTTCTCTGGACACGTTTTTCTTTAAATCATTTAAGGTTTGGGACTCTAGAGTCGCATTCTCTAATTTGAAGTCCTGCTTGTGAATGCTTGCTGCTGTGTGGCCCTGAGATGGTTCCTTAATCTCTCTGTGGGTCTCCTCATCTCTGCAGTAAGGAATAGTGGCAATGTTGCCTTGCATGAATGTGAAGCTTAAATGAACTTATGTAAAGTGCTCAGGGCAGTGCCTGGTACATAGTGGGTGGTTGTTGTTCCATTGGCTATCAAACAGTTAACAAATAAGCACACACCTGGCATAGGAGGGCCTTTGAGATTGTCTGATTGACTGACTGGTAGCCTTGACAACAGCACTGTGCTTGGCATGGGGTAGAAGTGAAGGGAGGCCAGAAGGAAGGCACAGAGTCCTTGTCCTAAAATTGCTTCAATTCTAGAAGGGCAGTGAAACTCAACTCTTTGGGACATGGATCAGCATAGAGCAGGCGTGTGAAATAGAAGTTTGGGCTAACCTGTGGGCAGTGTTGCTAATCCCCCTGCTTTCCAGGGCTGGCTGCCCTCCTTCTGTGGGGCCTACTGTCCTAGTTTGCCAGGTGTTTGGGGAATAATTTGACTCTAGGACTGTGTCTGTCTGTCCTAGGGCTTAGCTCTCTGAGGAACACCTGGAAGATTGGGGGAGGGTGAGCTCTGGTGGTTCAGGTGCCTGGGTCTGCTCCCTGGGGCACAGATGACCACAGGATCATTTGTGAGGTGTTTACTTTCTCCATCCTCACCCATACGCTCCTTTTAGCTTGCTGGGATTTATACTGAATTTATGCAGCCAAGAAGGAATGAAGCACAAAGTGTGTGGTGCAACTACAGCGGCTGGGAAATAACCCAACTGCTTCAGTGTGGACTTGGAGCGTTTATACATCTGAGCTCAGAGATAAGGGCAGGCTCTCCTGGGAGGTCAAGGAACTTAGCACCATTATCATTATTGTCAGTTTTATGTGATAATCATTTGACAGATGATGATGGGGACGTTTCTGTAATTGTTGTCTTCTCAGAGGCTGCTGGCGAAGCTGCAAAGCTGGGAGAGACTGGACCAGAGCACGGGCTTGAGCATCAGGTAGGAGGAGGGTCAGGTGCGTCCCACTGTCCCCATCTTCTTTGAAGAGTCAGCTTCACCTCACAGAGCAGTCGCTCTCTCCCCACTCTCCAGTTGGGCTTCTCTGTAGGCTGGAGGGCGGGGAAGCTTTTGTCCCATGCCGCTCAGGTTTAATGAGGTACTTTCACAGTGGGTGGGAAATGGAACTAAGTGACTCTTCCTGCTGAAGTCTTAATAACATCTTTACTGAAAATCAGAATAGCCACAGCAGAGTGGTGACAGGTATCTGATTGCCCTACATTGTTGGGCTTTGTTAAAGGACCCCCCCCCCTTTTAAAAAATATATATTGAGGAGGTAATTGCTTTGGGGGAAATCATTCCTTTTAGGTGATTGTAACCATTGGAGAGGAACTGAAATTTTAGGGTTAAAAGCCACTGTCGTGGTGTATTATTGTCCCACTCTGGTGCTGGTAGCAGGTAGTCTGTGTCAGGCTGATTGCTAGTGAGTGGGTTTAGGGATGCTAGGTGGGGCAGCTGATCACAGCTGGTGGATAGCCATCCATGGGTACTGGGAGTGGTGTTCTGATGTATAGGAAGGGAAGGACCATTCTCATCCTCGACCCTGTGTGTCCTGCTGCCTCATTCTCTCATGCTTTCTTCTTTCTGAGCAGTTACTCAGCGTGTCTCTGCCCTTCAGCTGCTGGGCTCCTGCTGACCGACTGTCTCCCGACAGCCTTGGTCTGGTGGCTCTTCTCTTCGTGGTTGCCCTATGTGCTGCTCGTCTCAGGGAGGGTGCAGGATTGATCCTTTTGAATGAATCACTGGAGCCTGGGGGCACAGGGCCCGTGGTGTTTAAATAGCCTCTTGTTTTATTTGCTTGTGGGATTTAAGACTTACAGTTTCCTGGGTTGTCTTTCTTGCTGCTCTTGGAAACTAGGCCAAGTCTGACACTCTTAAAAAGCTGTTCTGTAACTACACCGTCTGACTGCTGGTTCTAGAATCCACTACCTTCTGATCAGCATTATTGGCTGCAGTTCTCTGTCACTTAAAAATGCTTCTTCAAGCCGGGCTCGGTGGCTCAGCCTGTAATCCTGCGCTTTTGGGAGGCTGAGGTGAGTGGATTGCCTGAGCCCGCGGGTTCTAGGCCCACCTGGGCAGGGAGACCTCATCTCTACAATAAATTAAAAAAATCAGCCAGGTGTGGTAGCACATGCCTGTAATTCCAGCTACTCGGGAGGCTGAGGCGGAAGGATCGCCAGAGTCCAGCAGGTGAGGCTGTGGTGGCCGGGAGCTGCCACTGCACTCCAGTCTGGGCGACCGAGTGAGACTCCAACTCAAAAAAAAAAAAAAAAAGCTTCTTCAGCCGGGCTCGGTGGCTCAGCCTGAAATCCTGAGCTTTGGGAGGCTGAGGTGAGTGGATTGTCTGAGCCCACGGGTTCGAGACCCGCCTGGGCAGTTTGGCGAGACCTCATCTCTGCAATAAATCAAAAAATTAGCTGGGCGTGGTAGTGCACGCCTGTAGTCCTAGCTACTTGGAATGCTGAGGTGAAAGGATCGCCGGAGCCCAGCAGACAAGGCTGTGCTGGCCGGGAGTATGCCACTGCACTCCAGTCTGGGTGTCAGAATGAGACTCCAACTAAAAAAAAAAAAAAAAAAAAAATTGCTTCTTCATATTCTTTTCGCCTTGTTAAGCCACAGAGGACAGACCAGACTGCTCTTTCCTCTTGAATTCCACCTGCAGAACCTAGACTCATGTAAGGCTGACCTCAGCAGTGCCTAAATGCTTTGTGCTTCTGCCTGTTTTCTAGGCTTATTAACTACCTGAGACACATTCCTCCTGCTCCCAGGGTTATTCTGGCCAGATGAGGAACCCCCGTGACTTCTTTACTATAAGGGAGATCAGAGGCCCACTTATGCGTGATGAGACTGACACTGTTGGAGTGTTCAGTGTGCAGTGTCTGCCACAGAGTATTCAGCATCAGTCAGGCATGCAGATCTTGTGCTGCCAGCTGCTGTATCTGGCCAGAGTGACACAGGGAGTTCATCATGGCCACTTGGAAAGTACAGCTCGTTGGTCCTTTTTAAATGAGTCATTGGAGCCTTTTGGTTCCGTTTTTGCATCTGAGAGTCCTGCCTGGAGTGTGGCCACCATGAGGGCAAGCTGGTCCTTGGGATGATCATGTGATTTTATGTTTTGTGTTTACTCTTTCTTCCATGGTGGCCAGGCCCTGGATGAGGGAGAGGAAGGGGTCGGTCTGGAGGGCTGAGAGAGGTGGAGTGTCTGTGCCCACTGCCTTAGGGTTGGGCAGGGGGAAGGGGCATGCATTTGTGATGTTCTTTGTCTCAGATGAGGAAAATAGATGTTACTGCAGAGGCTGGGTTCTAGTCCCCGTCTCCCACTGTTATGTGGTAGCCTCAAATCGGAGAGGGCTTTCACATAATGTTTACCTATTCCAAAGAAGGCACCTGGAGATCCAGCAGGGTGAGACATTGGTTTATTACACTTACACGAGGGTCACTGATGGCAGCCAGTTGTGATGATGGAAGGATCTGAACAGTTTTATAATCAAGCAAGTTAATTATTTAAATTCCTATACAGTGTTTGCAATCACATTGATTAAGAGCGATGACTATATTGTCTTCAGATTGCTTGGTTTCGCATACCCTGCAGAGGCTAGCCTTGGTCAGGGCCTGTTTCCTGGGGAAGAGGCAGAAAGAAGCCTGATATGGGGGAAAGAGGCAATGTCTAGACACTTACCCACACTCCACCCCTACCTCTTTCTACCTTTTCTACCTGGTGGACAGCCATCCATGGGGACTGGGAGTGGTGTTCTGATGTATAGGAAGGGAAGGACCATTCTCGTCCTCGATCCTGTGTGTCTTGCTGCCTCATTCTCTTGTGCTTTTTTCTTTCTGAGCAGTTGCTCACCGTGTCTCTGCCCTTCAGCTGCTGGGCTCCTGCTGACCGACTGCCTCCCATGGTGGCCAGGCCCTGGATGAGGGAGAGGAAGGGGTTGGTCTGGAGGGCTGACAGAGGTGAAGTGCTTGTGCCCACTGCCACCTTAGAGTTGGGCAGGGGGAAGGAGCATGCATTTGTCTTTGTGTAACATTGATCTTCTACAAGTTCCCCGAGGTGGACACATGAGTCAAATGTTGCATCCATATCCTGCATTTGCAATAAAGGGCATAGTATTCAAACAGCAAAATTGCTATAGTGATTATAATGCCTATGATTTCGTTTTGCCAGAAAGAGCTTAGTGACCCAAACCACTTGGAAAAGGGGATCTTGAGCAATTTGGAAAACGGCACTGATTTTAGTGTTCAGGGGCTTAAGGGCCATAGACACATTATGAACATTGTCAGGAATGTATACATAGTATTCAGTGTTAAGTATTCCATAGGTGCCCCCCTCTGCCACAGTGAGCATATCTTCCTTATTGAGGAGGGCTGCCTGGCTTGAAATACCGTGCCTATCAGGTCCAGGAACCCTCTTGTCCATGACATGACAGTGGGAGTGTCCTGAATTGCCACACAGAAATGATAGTAGTCCCCCTTTTGAGTATTTGAGACCCAGGGTTAGTACACTTAACGGTGTTTATCCCTTTTCCCACAACCATAGCAAATATCTAAATTGTGATCTATCCTCTCTCCCTAGGGAGCCAGCAGGGAGTACCAGCGGGGTTCAGATTGAACTTTCCAGGGCCAATGGAAAGTATTCTCTCCAAGTACTATGTCTTGTGGGGCAGGCAGCAACAGGTTATTCTTGCTTCTCCAACTTGGTCACAGTGATGATTCTTGCATCCATATTTGCATCCTCAGGGACATCGCCCACGGTTGTGTCTACATATCTCGGGGTGCTAGATGGCCAGCACTGGGTCTCTTGTTGAGAGTGTGGATTGCTTCATGCAGTTGGGTCATCCACCCCTGCAATGAGTGTTGATCTGTTTTCAAAATGTCCTTTAGCATGCCATGATACCTTTCTATTAGACCGGCGCCTGTGGGATTGTAAGGTAGCTGAAAGTGCCAGTCAGTATGCAGCTGCTCAGCTCATTGTTACACTTGATGTCTAAGAAAGTGGGTTCCCTGGTCACTTTTGATGACTTCAGGGGTGCTCTATGCTGCCAGGAGCTGTGGCAGTTCTCTGATGGTTGAGAGCTGTGTAGCTCGCTTGCCAGGGAAGGCCTGCAGTAATCTTGTAGTAGTGTCAACACAAATGAGAGCAAACTGGGCCCCTTCCGACATGGGAAGGGAGTTGATATAGTTCAGTTGCCAGTGGGTGAAGGGCTCACGGCCCCATTTGATATGTCCACCTTCTACTGGCAGTCTCTGTGGGTGCCTCTCAGCACATACAGACATACAGAGCACTCATTGCAAGCTGTCACTGTGTCAGACTATTTAATGGAAAACCCCAAGCTTTTGCAACTTCCTACGGTGTTTTCTGTCCAGCAAGTTTCATCCTTCTATGCCAACTTACTGTGTCTTCCATGAGGGCTTCTGCTAGCCACCTTATGTGGATTAGGGTGTCTGCCTCGTTATTCCCTGGACTCTGCAGGGGAGAATGCCCAGAGACATGGAAGATGGAGACTTTTGGAGACTTGGAGCATAAATATCCTGCCACATATCTTGGCCCTGCAGGGGCTTGTTCATAATTGTCCATTGCTGCTGGTGCCATTGTGGCATCTACAGCATCAGTCCTTTGAACACTGCCTAGCTGTCTGCAAATTGTCAGTGGGTCTGGCTCTTTGGATATCACCAGCCACACTGCCCACAACTCTGCCCATTGGCTGCTCTGCCCGGTTTCATCTTCCGTGCAGATAGTCTGTGTTTTTGACTGGTATGCAGTGGCTCGCTGTTGAGGGGATTGTCTTCAGCATGATCTATTCACGTACCAAGCCTCTTCTGGGCCTGGTAGTATGCCTTCCATAATGGGTGATGGGGTAATGACTCTACTCTGCCGGTTGTTCGCCTGCATTGATGAGTGTTATTGGCCTTAGGAGCTGCTGTGGTTCATGGCTTAGAGAACCT